GACCATCTTCCTGCAAAACATACAACCATAACCTCGAGACCCATTATTAACTAAAATAAGCGGGGAAATCGCGCCAATAGGACCAACAGTTCACCCACACTGAAGCTCAATTCACTATATTGCACTAAACAGACTGCAGAAATGACAATTTCCAGTCTAACTAGGCACAGCATAACACACAGACAATCAAACAAACAAGCAAGTACATGCTCCCAACTAATCATCTAAGCATTCAATTCAGGTTCTCAATACCATACACTCTACAATCCTATTCTCCAGGACTACAGATAAAGGCAAAAAGACCAACTTGGAGATGCAAGGAGGAAAGTAGAGCAAGGGAAAAGGCGGGAGAGTGAACACAGACTCGGACCCGGGAAGAGTTCGTCGGAGGGTCGCCGGAGGCGATTTCCGGCAAGGGTGAAAAGGCGGCAACGGGAAGACAAGGGGGGCCGGCCGGTGCGCCTCGCCGATAGGATTCCAACTCTGCAACTGGCATCGCGAGTAGAGGTCGGGAGTGGCTGGAGCAGTAGCGGGAAGGTACGGCGGCGACGGTTCTTTGACGAGGTGGGCGTTTGTTTTCGGGTTTAGAGCGACGGGCGTAGCTCGCCCTTTTATAGATGAAGCGCAAGTTACGGCTTTATCAGGCGAGTAACTTAGGTTATAACAGGCTGACTTAGAACGAGTCATCGAGTTATGAGATGATTGGGTTAGTCATGCCCGTAACTTAGGTATTAACTCCCTGGTTCATGAGACAGGAGAGATACGGGCTTGGGGAAAGAGTTACGGTTGAGGCTTTAACTTCTTTCTTGTGCTCGTAACTCCTCTGTTGCTGTCGACTTGAAGTTACGGGCGAGGCCCGCTAGTTACGACCACAACCGTAAGTATGAGGGTTTGTCCGTAACTTCTGGGTATCACCCCAGGTCGTTCCCAGGAATTACGGTCAGGCCTTAGAAGTTACAGCCATGACCGTAACTTGAAGACTCAGACCGTAACTTTTGAGAAACTTATGCATGTCTCCGCCCAAACATGCCACAATTGTCATAAGACACCCAAAAAGCACCCCACTGGCCCTCGAGACCAAAATTTCACAATAACGACACCACACGCCATAATATTTGACCATAGAACTCCATGTTCGACACACGACACACAAAAATCAGAAAAATAAAAAGATAAAGAAAGAAAATGCAAACCGAGGTGTGGTTGCCTCCCCACAAGCACTTCTTTACCGTCTTTTAGCTCGACGCCCATGGAGAAACTAAGGGTCTGCAAGATCAATCATCAACTCCGTGCGTTCGACATTGCCTCCGTGGTACAGCTTGAGGAGATACTCATTCACCTTGAAGGACTCAGTTTGCGGATTGGGGATTTCGACGGTGCCGTAGGGAAACACCTGGGTGACCGTGAACGGTCCAGACCACCAGGAGCTTTGCTTTCCCGGAAAGAGTCAAAAGCGGGAGTTGTATAGCAGAACATGATTGCCCACCTGAAACTCCTTCAGACCTCTGATTCGAGCATCGTGGAGATGCTTGGCGTGCTCCTTATATAGTCTGGTGTTTTCATAGGCATGCTAATGCCACTCTTCCAACTCCACCAGTTGCATTTTACGTTCGGTACCTGCATCATCGAGCTTGGTGGACCAATCTTTATGGGATTGATCCACTATCTTTTCTATGATTTTTAGCTCCCGGTTTGTCAGCTCGGCTTGACCATTTGTTTGTGGATGGTAAGCCACTAACACCTTGTGCGTCACATAATAGCGAGAGAGGATCTTAGTGAATTGGCCCTGGAATTGGGTTCCTCTGTGGCTAATGATCGCTCGGGGTGTCCCGAACAGGAGAAAAGCTGCTTCATGAAGGAGCAGACTCGTCTTGCGTCATTGGTGGGCATGACTTGAGCTTTTTCCCACCTCGAGACGTAGTCCACCGCAACCAAAATATATAGATTACAAATGAAGGAGGAAAGGGACACATGAAGTCAATGCCCCAGACATCGAATATCTCACAGACTACAAACGACTTCTGGGGCATCTCATCAAGGCGGAAATGTTACCTGATCACTGACATTGATCGGACTGGCGTGCGAAGGCATCAACATCCTTAAAGAGCGTGGGCCAGTAGAAGTCCGGCTAGATCACCTTCCGCGTCGTGGGGTTACTTTCTTGATGACCGGCAGCTGGTCTCTCATGACAGTGAGACAAGATGTCTCCCATCTCGTGCTCCATGACGCACCGTCGAATCACGCCATCTGCTCCGATCCTGAAGAGGTATGGATCCTCCCAGAAATAGTACTTCAGGTCGGAGAAGAACTTACGCTTAGCGTGAGTGGCCATCCACTTGGGTAACTTCTTGCCCACCAGATAATTGGCAAAATCAGAATACCATGGAGTGACACTCTCCACCAAGCATAGTGCCAGAAGTCACTCGTCCGGGAAGGAGTCATTGATCTCCTCCATGAATTTATCCACCAGAGAGGCTTCCAACCGTGAGAGGTGATCTGCTGCGACGTTCTCCGCTCCCTTCTTATCCCCGAATCTCTATATTTAACTCCTGTATAAGAAGGATCCAGCGGATGAGCCTCGACTTGGCGTCAGCCTTTGTCATCAAGTAACGACTGACCGAGTGGTCGGTATAGACCACAACATGAGAAAGCACCAGGTACGGTCAGAACTTGTCGATGGCGTACACCACTGCAAGCAGCTCCTTCTCTGTGGTGGTATAGTTCTCCTGAGCATCGTTCAAGGTCTTCAATGCGTAGTAGATATGCTGGAAATGCTTATCACGTCTCTGGCCAAGAACATCTCCGACCACATAATCACTTGCATCGCACATTAGCTCGTAAGGCAGAGACCAATATGGAGTCACCATGATGGGTAAATGGGTAAGCTTCTCCTTCGAAGTCTCAAATGCAGCTATGCACTCTGGAGTGAAGTGAATTGGTGCGTCTTTCTCGAGCATCTTGGTCAATGGCAGCGTGATCTTCAAGAAATTTTTGATGAAGCGCCGGTAAAAGCCTCCATGACCCAGAAAGCTGTGAATCCCCTTCACAGAAATAGGGGGAGGTAGCTTGATGATCATCTCTATCTTTACGCGATCTACCTCGATCCCCTGCTTGAAGATCTTGTGCCCGAGCACAATACTTTCACGAACCATGAAGTGGCACTTCTCCCAGCTAAGTGCCAAGTTCGTCTCCTCACACCTCCTCAGGACAAGCTCGAGGGTTATGAAAACAATGTGAGAAGGAGTCTCCATAAATCGAGAAGTCACCCATGAGGACTTCCATGATCTCTCCGACCAGTCGGTCGAAGATCGCCAACATGCACCACTGGAAGGTTGCTGGTGCATTAGAAATCTAGAATGGAAATCTCCGGTACGCAAAAGTACCAAAGTGACAGGTGAATGTGGTCTTCTCTTGATCCTCTAGCGCGATGGGGATCTGGAAATATCCTGACATGTCATTCAGAAAGCAGTAGAACTCATGGCCGACCAACCTTTCCAGCGTCCGATCAATTAAAGGTAGCGGGAAATGATCCATCCTGGTGGCGTCATTCAGGCGCCGGTAATCGATGCAGACTCGCCAGCCGGCCATGGTCCGCATCGGGATCAGCTCGTTCTTCTCATTCGGGACCACATACATCCCGCCTTTCTTCGGGACCACCTGAGTGGGACTGACCCTCTTGCTATCAGATATAGCAAAGATGATCCCTGCATCCATCAAATTCACGATCTCTGCTCGGACCCCTGCCTCCAAGTTAGGAGTCAATCTCCGCTATGTCTGCCTAACTGGCTTAATCTCATCCTCTATCAAAATTCTGTGAGAGGAGAAGGATGGGCTAATACCTCTAATGTCAGTTATCTTCCACGCCATGGCCCGGGCATACTTCTTCAACAAAGCCACCAGACTGCTCTTTCGCTCGAGGGTCAGTTCCGAGCTGATGATTACCGGGAGTTTATTCCCCTCCCAGAGAAATGCGTACTCGAGGTGAGAAGGGAGCGGCTTAAGCTCTAGCTCTGGTGGCACCTCCAATGATGTAGCAATTCGGGGCGAGATAGAGATCTGCTTTAATGGCTTCTCTCGCCCCTCGATCACAGCTCCCTCTAGTTCTGCGAGCTGCTCCTCCAGATGCAACTCCTGTGATGCTTGTTCCCCTAGCAAAAGACAACGCTCAATGAAATCATCAGTACCAGCACTCGTGATGGCGAGTGCGGTCTCAAAATCAGCAATAACATCGCAGTAATCCAGATCATCATGGAGCTGGGGGTGTTTCATATTATGAAAAACAGAGAAGGTGATTTGTTTACCCCCAACCCTTAAAATCAGTTTTGCATCATTGATATCAATTAGCGCCTTGGTGGTGGCGTGAAAAGGTCTACCCAAAATTAAAGGCACATCCACATCCTCATTTATATCAAGAATAACAAAATCAATGGTATATGAGAATGACCCTACTCCGACTATCAAGTCCTCTGCAATACCCCTAGGAGGCACAATGGATCTATCTGCTAACTGAATGCGCATCCTAGTGTTACTGGGTTCACCTAGGCCTAGCTTTTTAAAAAGTTTATATGGCATTACGTTTATGCTAGCGCCTAAATCCTCCAATTACTTCCCTACATGCAAACTACCAATCATGCAAGGGATACTAAGACTCACTGGGTCTTTTTGCTTCTCTGGTAGCTTGTTCTGCAGGATGGCAGAACACTGCTCGTTAAGAATCACCATCGACTGCGGTTTAGGAGCAGGCACCTCAACCTCCTTCTCTATTTCTTCTTCAATAGCTAGAAGTGCATTGGGACACAGAATTTTCCCCACAATACCTTATACCAATCAACAACAGGCTGCTTATTGTGGAAACATTGTTATCCTTAAGAAGGGAACTATCTTTTTCACAATATATATAAGTATGGGTTGTCGATAGAATACTTATTCATGTCACTCAATTTGCTTTTTTTGGTCATGATTATAGAAATACGAAGACGACATTTCTAAAATTGTTCAATGCATGGACTCATGTGGGATATTTTGATTAATTCTACCAACAATTTCATAGTAAAGGAAGTGATTGAATCACACATTTAAATCACTGATTATGTTATCCCAATAATCTCTCAAGATCAAGCATATAGACGTGGCTATACTACTAGGTGGTGCCACTAGAATATAAATAATGACAAAAAATGAAGCCTAGTACGCTATTGATCATAATTTGGTGGGGGAAAACGACCCCATCGTTAATTAGTGATCGATCTCGTTATGACAGTCTTCTCCTCCCCATTTCTTTATCCGATCTCCGGCAATAGAAGCCTGAAACAAATTAAAAAACAGCATTACCCATATATTGATGATCATTCGTTGTAGCTGAGTAACAAAACAATTTGTATAGAATTATAATTACCTCCTTATTCCAGTTAGTTATGAAGATCATCCAGTAAAGAACAAGTGTTTGTACCACCGTTCCTGCCATCATACCTAACCAGATCCCCTGCGGCACAAAAAAATTGAAAGAGGATGGATGATGACAGATCAATTCAGTCCTGAAGTATGGATTTTGCACGAATTACGACGCAATAGATTCATTGATGTCATGTTTGTGAGATCCTTCTCACAAATAAGATGTGAGAAAGATAGTTACAGTTTCTGAAATAAAGAAGAACGATACTTACTGTTATGCCCATATGAAATTTGTAGCCCATAATCAAGCCCAATGGAATCCCAAACAAATAGTAGCACCCAATGTTCACGTACGCCACAACTGCTTGCCATCCAGCCCCAATTGCCACACCTAAAGTTTGCTTTCCATACACAAATAATTCACTGCAATTAAATAAGTATACTACTAATTTAGGAAAATGATGTATTGATTCATTGGATAATAAATACCGCAAAGAACGGGTTGAACGTTGTTAATGACAATGCACAAAGCGAGTAAAGGAGTTAGATCCTTTACGACCTGCTTCACCGCCAAATTATTGGAGAAGAGAGATGGGTAATAATCTCTAGTGATGACGAGAACGAGTGCGAGGACGATGCCAACCACAAATGACGATATCACAGCAACGGTGAGTGAGAATTTTGCTGTTCTTGGATGACCTGCTCCAAGTTCGTTGGAAATTCTTACACTAAAAAAAAGAAGGGAAGAGAAATAAATTAATTCTACCTTATAAATCATAAATAATGAATATAGTATCAATTAGAAAGGTGAATTGTTGAATTACGACAAAGTATAAACCTGATGGCTATGTTCATTCCAAAAGCCGCCATGATGGTCCATCCCAAAATGTTCATGCTGCAAGATTGTAATTAGGTAGTTCAATAGTCATGCCTTGCACAAAAGGCTTGGCCAAATGATTGTTGTCTAGTGTCTAACTCTCACTCATATATGTGAAATTATAAGAACATAGGCCAAACTAAAGACATAAAATAACCTAGAGGTCGTTTGGCTTTGTGAATTTGGAGTAGGAATTGGGGTCAATTCTCATAGTAGTTGAATTCAACTCTCATGTTTGGGTGTGAAAAAAAAAAAAAGGAATTTGAATAATGTAAATTGGGCTAAATAACCACATATGCGGAAATGCTAATTCAGGCTCATCCCACTCCTCGTAAGTTCAATTCCTGCACATGTACTTGTTTTCTTGCCAATTTTTCCCATGTTATTTTTATAAACCCAAAACTATATCTCCCTTAAGCTACTGATCTTTCTTATTCCTTCATTTTCTTTTCTTCCAACTCAAACCATCCCCAATTCCTCTCCATCTTTACCACCTCCTAAAGCAAATCTAGTGTCAAAGATGATGAATGTCCAGACGACTAGATCTAACTTCATTTTGATTTTTGAGGTCTTCTAGCCAGAAGTATTTGGCCGCTCTCTTATCCAACAAGGATGCCAACAAGGGATTGGGTAACCTACTATCTGAGTATCCTAGAGGCGATTTCGTCGAATAAAGAGGGAGAACGACCCGTAGCTCAAAGAAGAAGAACAAAAATTCAACTCTATTTGGTGCTCAAAGATGAATTGATCGATTCATCGGATATGATTTCCTCTTCCTCTCCTGTTTGCACGACTATTCCTTTCGTTGATTTGGTTTTCACTAGCTCTATGCACGAGTCACTTCTTCTTAACTTTTCACTTGATAGATGTTAATTAGCTCTTCTTTTAAGATTTTGCATGTTAAATCACTGTGTCTAGGCCACATATCAAATTATTTATGTCTATTTTCGTTCTTATTTGCAAAACATGTATTTTGGCATAGGTATTCACGATATAAAGGTTTTTATAGGGGAACTGAACCCACTTTGTCATATTTTATGCTTTTTCAGTGTTTGTGATGATATTCCAGGTCTTACATTCATCTGGGATTGATCGGAAATTGATTCGAGTTCATTTGAGCATGATTGGAAAGCATAGGAGCAAGAAGGGAAGAAAAAGCACACCATGACCACGCCATGACCATGTTCGTGGCCTTGAAGATCGAGGCTTAGAACAGTGCCCTAGAACTTCAGAAGGCAACCGTCAAGGACAGAAAGTTTCGACACTCGAGTCGCAGTCTTGGTGCTTTTCGACTGCAAAAAAGATCACGACCGTGACTGATTCAGGCATGATTGTACATATTTTACCCCATTTTCCTTAGGCGTTTGTGGCAATTGCGCTCCTAAAAGGGTGGTTTTATGCGAGGTTTCTTGTGTTTTAGCATGTTTCAGGATCCAACAGGTGAAACTAGCCCCGAAGTTGAAAGTTGGAAGAAAAGGAGCGAAAACCGGGAGAAGAGGTGAAAAGAAGGCAGTTCACGGCTTTCCTTAGATGTTCACGGTCTGCTTAGACCGTGAAGAGAAGCTTTTGCCCGTGAACATCAAGGTGTCCAGGGCCAAATCTCAAATTACTGACGCTAATTGAGTTCACGGTCACTAAGATCGTGAACTGGAGCTGTTGCCCTTGAACCCGTGCAAGCGAAGCGGTGCGGTTCAACGCCCATCTTGAGTTCACGGACGCGTTTCAGAGTTCACGGCCGTGAACTTACCACGATCCCTGTTTAAAAGAAGAGCTGAAAGGAAGAGAGTGGGGAGAGCCCAAAAGAGTGAGAAAGTCTTCTTCTTCAGATTTTAGAGAGAGAAGACTAACCAAAGGAGATGGATTTTGCTCCAAGAGTAGATTTGGGAAGATTCACCCCAAGAGAAGTTCAGCACAAGTACAAAGAAGATTGGAAGTCTCTCCATGATGGTTTCTACCTCTTCCCCTTGTGTTTCTCTCATTTCTAGCATGGAGTATATTTCTTTTTCACTTGGGTGTTGTGAAACCCTAACTATCTACCATGTAGTTTTTGTTATGAGAATTGAATGAGTGTTTATGGGTGTTGTTTAATTCAATGATCGAGGTATTATTCATGTTGATTGTGCATGTTTGTGCTTAGCAATCTAATTGGCCAATTTAACCTAGACTGGAGAGGGAAAACCCCCTTTCAAGGGAGGCTCAATTGAGTTGGTATTCCTAGGGCTTTTTAAGTCACCTATCTAGGTTAATTTAGGGAAAACCTCGATGTTTGATTAAGAAATTTGGTTAAGGGCGATTAAGCCAAACAACCATTGGGTTGAGTGAGGGAGTAAGTCAACCATCAATTGCCTAAACCGAGAGGGCCGAGTGACAGCCTATAATGTATCCCTCGGTTTAGCAATCGAGAGTGTGGTCTACGATCATATTTCCGTCCCCTAGCGGTTTGCGGTCACCTTACCCATAGTAATCGTTTTGATTCACATACCATGGTAGTAGTTAGGGGAAGCGACACCCGAGTGATCCTTCTCACAAAAGTGCTTTCAAAACCGTTTACTTTTACCTTGCTTTACTTTAATTAGCAAACTTTTCAACCAAAACCGAGTCGCTAGATAATGATTCAAATGACTGAAGTAGGGGTATACGGACCAGCCTGAGTGGATATTTAAATATACTTGCCCTGTACTACACCCGACTAAGGTTTATACTTGGCCCTTAGGCGGGAATTAATTGTGGTATTCGGGACGAGTCAGTGACACCAATGACCGCGGGCGTGATCTCATGAAGGAGGCCGCAATCTCATAACTTAAAGATGGGACTAAACGCGTCTTTTCTGGCAATTCAAAGGCGTTCCAGGCTAGTCATGGCCAAGTCACGGCCAGGATACGACCGTGACCACTGCCAACGGCTATAAATAACCCCTTTTCTGCACTTGACAAATTAGAGCCGACCTAGAATGAGAAATTTAAGGTTTTGGAGTGTTTTAGAGAGGAAATCACCTTGGGAGAGCTTTATTGAAGATCCAATCCACCCAAGGAGCAAGAGGAAGGTGCACGAAAGGAAGTAGAGTACTCTGGGTGTATTTGCTCAAATATAAGTAGGACGTTACTCGATATTTGCTATTTTGAACCAAGTTTTCTCCCGGTATGGTGGTCGTGTCAACCATTTTCAGACACTACAAGAAAAAAGGGTTTCAGCAACCATGTTCTTAGCGACCATAAGAAAATGGTTGCTGATAACTAGGCTTTTGGCTACCATTCACAAAATAGTTGGTGATGCCCAACCTTTGAGCAACTATCTTGAAATGGTTGTCAATAGGCCAAAACTTCTGCAACCATTTGCATAATGGTTGCTGATACCTAACTTTTGAACAACCATTAGGTAAATGGTTGCACAAAATCAATACTTCACCAACTATTAATAAAATAGTTGCTGATACTCGATGTTTGAGCAACCATTACTCAAACGGCTGCCGATTGAGCAAAGTTTGAGCAACGACTTGTAAGATAGTTGCCAAAAAGTCAATACTTCACTAACCTTTATCAAAATAATTGGTGATACTTGTGTTGTTTGAGCAACTATTACTTAAATGGTTGTCGTCTTGTCGATTGAGTAAAGTTTGAGCAACGACTTGTAAGATAGTTGCCGAAAAGTCAATGCTTCAGCAACCATTATCAAAATAGTTGTTGATACTTGTTGTTTGAACAACTATTATTACTTAAATGGTTGCCGATTCAACAAAGTTTGAGCAACGATTTCAAGGATGGTTGTCGATTCAGCAAAGTTTGAGCAACGATTTCAAGGATGGTTGCTGAAATGTAAATGATTCACCAACCATTATCAAAATAGTTGCTCATACTTGATGTTGAGCAACTATTACTGAAATGGTTGCGGATTGACCAAAGTTTCAGCAACGATTTGAAAGATGGTTGCCGAAAAGTAATACTTCATCAACCATTATCAAAATAGTTAGTGATACATAATATACTTCATCAAAAATAATTTCTTTTCATTCAATTACAAGAATATTTTAATATCTTCATTATAATTTTTTTATTAATTATCATTTTGATAAAACCTTACGTTAGTGATTCATAATATACTTCATCATTTTAAGTGGATTCTTTCATGTTTGATTATTACGTAGTAAGGATGTTAAACAAATCAAGTTTAATTAAGCTTAATCAGCCATTCGTAAAAGATTTATGCTTAAGTCAAATATTCATCAAATTAGTTGTCTACCAGACGTAATTTTATTTCCCCAATTCTATCCTTCTCTTTTTCAAATTTAATTTTAAAATTTGAGGGGCACCTCATTGTATTTATCTTCTTAGTTGGATAAAAGATTCTAAATATTAACTTCTATTTTTATTCACCTAAACTGAAATGGTACTGTCAAACGTCGTAGTTTTGTTGTTGAAAGAAGTGGGAAGAAACAAAACAATCGAGTCTCCTTCAATCTTCCCCATCTGTCCATTTCATTTCCAAAACAGAATCCCTAATTTTCTTTCTTCTCTGGTTCTCCACACACGCAGCTGAGGCGGCTGTCGAGACTCTGGCGGTTTTATCTCCCTCCAAGATAACGTCATCCTTGCCGGTGTTGTCTCCCTCTATGCTCCACTCCTTCCCCGCTTTCTAATTCCTCCACGCCGCCACGCTTTCCCGATTCTTTTCAAATTGATTTCATCCTCTCGCACGAAGGAACTCAGGCCACGGTCTCCATCGCAAGTAAGAACTCCAAGCTAAGCCACTCTACTATTTTCCAATCCTACCTATAATACTTCTTCTTTCGCTCTTTCCCTCCTTCAAACTCAGGCAGCCTGGAGAAAAATAAGTTGTATGTGACGAGCGCTTCATCCAATCTTTGCTCTTCCTCCGTCGTTGTTGGTGAGAATGCTTCCTCCAGTCATGACACAACCAGGTAAGTCGCCACTCGTCCCCTCTACTTGTCTCATTTGCTTCGTTTGTATGAGCTGGGATTCGGGTGAGAAATGAAACCCTAAAAATTTCATCGAGTTCGATTGTTAGTTGGTTGTGGTGGCTTTTGATAAAATCCTTATGTCGTTTCTTTTCTTGCCTAGAGCAAGAAATTTCCATTGAATTTAATCAGCCATTGTTTTAGAATCATGGCTATCATCTGCTTGTATTTGGTCTCTTGATTATCAGATTTTTTATTAGCTAGCTATAAGATACACACTGCAAACTATCGCTGAAGCTTTTACAACAGTCCCTCCTAGCTATTGCATTGTATGAACTTTGGTGTACATTCTAGTTATGGCTATATAATGGTTTGCAAATAATAATTGTTACAAATTTGGGTTTGTATAAAGGTAACTAATGTCGAGAATGGCTGTGTAATGGCTCGGTTATGGAGAGATTTGTAAGGGCTTCCATTTGCTGCGAACTTCTGTAAGTAATGGAAAATGAGTTGTATTTACATTGGTTGTTGCTATTATTAATAATTATGTGCTGTCATTTTTTAATTGTAGGTGTTTCACCAAGCATCTCTCTTTTCTCCATCTTCTGGTATTTTCTCTGTTTTTTAAGCTTTCCTTTGTCTGTGTATCCTCTTATGTTGGTTGTTTGAACTTTAAATTGGTAAGGTTCGTTGCATTAAACTATTGTGCTTGTTTGCTTAAGAGATATTACTTATGCCTCTCTGTATTATATCCTTCAGATGAAGTGTCTCGGCTGTGGGAAGAAGAATGTTTGGCCGATAGCTGGACTACCATTGGAATCGTCTTAGTAACGAGAATTCTATTTATGATGATACTATTTATAATGTATAGTCAATATTGCACTAGAGTTAGAATTTTTGTATGTTGTGTTCTACCATTAGCATTTTAGTCACATGATTGAGAATTTCTCATTACTTGAGAATTTAAAGTACATTATTGTATTATCATACATATATTTCTTAAATGTTTGAGACTATTATTAAATTCAATGTTCGGAGTTTATAAGTTCTAGGTATTAACAACCAAATCTATTACAATTTATGTTTTGTTAGCTAAAATTGTACTTTCAGTAATGATCAAATCATAGCCGACTACCAAGTTGGTTGTAGGAAGCGACACACCATTAGCAGCCCAATCAAATAGTTGATGGAAGTCTAACAATCAGCAACCATCAGAAAGGTTGTTGTAGTTTTCAACCTTTATGCAACCATATTCAAAGGGTTGCTGAAGT